CAATGAATATTTTAATTTTAAGGTTTATATTAAAAAATACTGATCTTCCTACATTAATGTCACTTTACTAATAATCCTTCGTAATAGTGTATTAACATTGAGTCACTAATCATGGAATACGTTCTTTTGGGAATTTGTCCTTTGAAGAAAAAAGGGCTATTATAGGAGTCATTGTAGTTCCAAATAGGAATATCATTAACTGTTCAAATACTGAATTTTCTGAATTTCTTCTTTTAAATCATAGAGCTTTTCTTGCAAGGTTTTTAAATTAATACCTACCCTTCTCATTTAATACTCTTATGACCTTGGTCTAACCATGGTCCTGTTCTGAAAAAAAAAATGTTCAGTTAAACTATAGATATTATTGACTGCAGTATGAGCATTTGTTTTCTTATTATAATAGTTTACTTTCTTATTATTTATAATTCACATTGAAAATACCTAGTCCTCACAATCATTTTTGTGATAGTTTTCTTCCCTGCCTTCCTTCTTGTCATTGTGAAGTAAGGTGCCTTTCTATTTAGGTAGCAGATCTCTTGATATTTTATAAATCAAAACATCTTTTTTTTTCACTAAAACAGATTTGATGGCTTTTTAAAGAATTTATTTATGTAAAAGAGGGGTTCCTATCTGATGGAGTCATTAATAATTTATTTGATTTAAAAGTTGATGCTGGGGCTGGGATTGTGGCCCAGTGGTAGTGGACCTGCCTAGGATGGGTGAGGCTCTGGGTTCGATAATCAGCATCACATAAAAACAAGTCAACAACAAATAAATAAAGATTAARTTTTTTAAAAAAAGCTGATGCTGGACTCCAGCACTAAAGTAGATTAATTTGGCTTACTAATCACATGCAAATGAGTGAATTAAAATTKTTTGAACAATATCTAAGGAATGTGGAAACCTGGTTTGTTGCCTTTTCTGGTTTACATATGATTTTATTAAAGMTGATTTAATGATCCAGCAGTTTTCATCCTTTCAGAGTAAAATCATCAAGATCAAGTACCATTGTTTAACTGTATTAAATTTATGAGTTGGAATGACTGCATACAGATTCTAATAGTAACCGTGAAAAAATGTTTCATATCACTTAAATTTTTTTTTTTTTTTAGGTCAGTATCTTTCTCCCCAGTTTTAGCCAAATTGACTGTGTGGGCTAAAAACCATTGTTTTTTTTTTTTTGAAATTGCTCTAATTTTATACTCAGATTTAATTAGTGTATACATTAACCAACAAATAATTTGCATTTATTTTGGAAATATTTTGATCAAGATTATTTTAAAATCAGTACTACTTTCATAGTATTTTAAGATTATGCTATAAATTTGTATGTTTGGTGACACCGTATTTCTTAAGTAATTTCTGRGAAGTATTCATTTCAAAGATTTAAATTTTCTACAGGTCTTTTGTATATTATTGAAACACAGAAAGTTCTTGACCTCAGAATTAACTTGAAGGCTTCATACATTATTGTCCCACAAGATGGAATTTTTACTCCTACATCTAATCTACTACTTTTGGATCTTGGTCATCTAAAGGTACATAATAATAATATTTGATTCATGATATGGCATTTAGGGTATTATGAATCTTGTTTTTTAGGCTGTTTGATTGGCTTACTGATTTTTAGATTTGTGGCAGATACTAGTATTYGAGAAATCTTCCTTTCTGGTAAAGAAAGTGCAGTGTCATTTAATTAGGTGTTCTCGCCCTCCTTCTAAAAGAAAAATAACCAATTGAACTCTTAAGGGCAGGAGTACACTGAAAAATTATATTTGTAGAATTTGAGTTGTACTTGAAAAGTTTATTTCCTTTTCTGTTCAATCTTTACTTGATTAATTAAAGTAAAATAGAGGGAATTCTGGAGATAATCAAATATATCTTTATTCTTTTGAAATTTTTGTGTATAATACTGATATTTTAATTATATATAAATATTGACATTTTAATTTTATCAAATGATTTAAAACTGAGAGATGGTTATCTATTTACCAAAGTTATTTTCTTTTTCTTCCAATTATTAACTTTTTTATTATCAAATAGTAAGTAAAGAACAATTATTTTTGACTTTTTTTTTTTTTAAAGAGAGAGATAGAGAGACACAGAATTTTAATATTTATTTTTTAGTTATCCGCGGACACAACATCTTTGTATGTGGTGCTGAAGATTGAACCCGGGCCTCACACATGCCAGGGATCGCGCTACCGCTTGAGCCACATCCCTAGCCCCTATTTTTGACTTTTGAGATCTATGCTGTGCTACCCATTAGATACATTTGATTAAGTTAAAATTAAACAAAAATTCAGTTCCTTAGTGACATATTAGTCATATTTAAGAGTTTGGAAATCAGAAGTGGCCAGTGGCTGTTGTGTTGAACAACATAATGGTTCTATTAAACAGCCCTGCTCTAAATCATTAAGGATAGAGAAATACCAGTAACAATTTAAAGGTCTAAGAGAGATGAAAAATGTTCGAATTGATTTCTTTTGGCTACCTAACAAGTATGTGCCTTTCCTTAATATTGGTGGTTTCTTTTATTGATTGATTATACTCTGCACTGGGAACATATGTAGACATTCACTGGCTTTATATTTATAATAAGTTTATACAGCTAATTATTCACATTTGAATTTGGTTATTCAATTGTTTCAAGGGCAATATGGTGCAGTGGGAAGAGCATAAGGTCAGGAGTTAAGTATATAGTTTTGTGACATTTGGTAATTCACTTAACCTGTTACCCAAAATTCATTACATTTCAAAGTTAATAATTTTTGACTGTTTATTTCACATGAGATATATAAACAGAAGAAAAACTGTTTATATGTGTGTGTTTATGTTTAAATATGTACACACACAGGTATCTATCTATACCTATTTATTTATTCATCAGTTAGTGAAATAATAAGATCTTTGAGTGATTCCTGGAATGTTAAGTGAAAAGAATCCCATGTCAAGAAAAGGGAGAATACAGTATAACATCTTTGGAGTCACATAAATGGCAAAGTTGGGTCTTAAATTTCACCATCCTATATATTAAATCCTAGACTCTTATTGCTRTAAAACTATCTAAATATCTGTCTTTGTACAATGGAAACGTTTTATAAGCTAAATTTATCTCTGGGTT